GGCTTCAGTAGTAGACGCATCTACAGGGGCTTCACTAGTGGACTCGTCTATAGGGGCTCCAGTAGTAAGCTCATCTGCAGGGGCTTCAGTAGTAGACTCGTCTACAGGAGATTCAGTCGTAGACCCGTCTACAGGGGCCTCAGTAGTGGACTCATCTATAGGTGCTTCACTAGTAGACTCTCCAACAGGGAATCCAGTAGTAGACACATCTACAGGGGCTTCGGTAGTAGCCTCACCTACAGGGGCTTCAGTAGTGGTACCGCGTACAGGGGCTTCAGTGGTACCCTCACCTACAGGAGATTCAGTAGTGAACTCGTCTACAGGGGCCTCAGTAGTAGACTCTTCCATAGTGGCCTCAGTAGTAGACTCTCCAACAGGGAATCCAGTAGTAGACACATCTACAGGGGCTTCGGTAGTAGCCTCACCTACAGGGGCTTCAGTAGTGGTACCGCGTACAGGGGCTTCAGTGGTACCCTCACCTACAGGAGATTCAGTAGTGAACTCGTCTACAGGGGCCTCAGTAGTAGACTCTTCCATAGTGGCCTCAGTAGTAGACTCTTCCATAGTGGCCTCAGTAGTAGAGTCATCTACAGCGGCCTCAGTAGTAAACTCTTCAGTAGTGGCCTCAGTAGTAGACTCGTCTACAGGGGCTTCAGTAGTGGACTCGTCTACAGGGGCCTCAGTGGTAGACTCGTCTACAGGGGCCTCAGTAGTAGACTCATCTACAGGGGCTTCGGTAGTAGCCTCACCTACAGGAGCTTCACTAGCGGACTCGTCTATAGGGGCGCCAGTAGTAAACTCATTCACAGGGGCTTCAGTAGTAGCCTCACCTATAGGTGCTTCAGTGGTAGCCGCATCTACAGGGGCCCCAGTGGTAGCCGCATCTACGGGGGCCTCAGTGGTAGCCGCATCTACGGGGGCTTCAGTAGTAGATTCTTCTACAGGGGCCTCGGTAGTAGTAGACTCTACAGGCGCCCCCGTCCCCGGCATCTCTGGTGTTTCCGTAGTATCATGGGGAGGGTATGGTGTTGTAGCCGTGAGGACGGAATGGTCGAAGCTGAGCTCAATAGTCGAGTCCTCAACCCGGTAGGTGTCGTCAACGGTATACATCGGGCCGTAGTCGCCAAAAACGCAAAAGCCGCCACATCCCCTCTCAATTTTCGCCGTAGTGGACTGCATACCGCGTTGGACTCCCCTCCACTGGAGGATGAATGGGAGGCCGTGAGCGAGGACCTTAACGCGGTATCCCCGCATGTAACCAGAACGCTTCCTCATGGCGAGGAGAACATCGCCGGACGTTACCCACACAGGATCCCTCTTCTTAGGTTGATCAGCAGAATACCATGTCTTATACTTACCATCAAAGACGACACAATAAAGCCTCTCATCACCAAACTGATGCATCAGATACCAGGCGCCATCGCCACCAGCGGGACCAAAGCAAGGAACAGCCGTCTGACCCCATGGGAGGTAGATGTTAGCCCGGGCCTTGGCCGTCAAAGTGACGTGATGATA